AAAAAAAAAAAAAAAAATATATACTACTTGTATATCCATGACTTAGGTATTTTAATATCACTTGTACTAATATAACCCTTTAATTCTTTGTAATTTTACATAGTGAGACACTAAATGACTAATATATCCATGACTTTTGATTTGTTTCCTTCAATTAGCTATTGGATTGTAAATGTATTTTAAAAGTTGATAACTTTTGTTCTTCTTATCGGTTTTACATATATAATATATCAAATTAATCACCTTTTGATGATGTTCGATTTGACACCCATATTGTATATATTAAATAAATAAATTTAGTTTACTTTTTTACAAAAAAAAAATAAAATATATTACTATATATTTTAGAATGATATGTGTTACTTATGACTTACATATGTTATATTATATTAGTTTTTATAACTCATATCATATAACTACTTGAAATATAAATATATTAGTTGATAAAATAATTTTATTTTTCTAATTAATATTAAAAATAATTTTATTATTGTTATAAAGATAAATATAAATTATTTTTTTATACATACAATATGGATGTTAATCGAAGCTCATCAAAAGAAGATTATTTGATATATTACATATGTAAAACTGATAAAAAATACAAAAGTTATTAACTTTTAAAATATATATACAATTCAATAGTTATAATAAAGAATGATATTAAAATGCAATTAATTCATGTAACATGACAATAAATAATCAACATATTTATGGTAATCCAAACTTTTTATTTTGGTTTGGAATAATTAAAATTTATCCAAGCCTAATAACGAAGCATGTAATTTTGCCACATAGGATTCCGAAGCACCATAAGCAGCCACGTAGGCTCAGCGCGTTCTGGATTAATATATAGGGGAGGAGATAATATTATATTAATTTTTTAATTTTTATTATATAACTAGTACAATGCCCGTATATTACACGGGTGTTTGCTAATTTTTTTCTTAAAATCTAAAATTAATGAAAAAAAGTAAATGAAAATTTAAATACCTTTTATAAAAATATATATATTATTATATATTTAGTATGACAATTTTTATTTGTACAACTTACATGTGTTATATTATCATAATTTTTTTAACTTACGGCATATAACTATATTGAACATAAATATATCAATTAATAAATAATTTTATTTTTCTATAAATTATTATTTTTTATTATTATAAAGATAAATATAATTTATTTATTTCATATATACAATATGGATGTCAAATCGAGATCATCAAAAGATGATTAATTTGATATATTATATATGTAAAGCCGATAAGAAATACGAAAGTTATCAACTTTTAAAATACATTTACAATTCAGTAGCTAATTGTGGAAGTAAATCAAAAGTCAGAGATATATTAGTCATTTAGTGTCTCACTATGTAAAATTACAAAGAATTAAAGGGTTATATTAGTAAAAGTGATAATAAAATACCTAAGTTAACTAAATAATATTTATGGAATGTCCAAACCTAGATTATTAATCCCCTTCCCCTTTATATATAATTTTCGAATGTGCTGAGCCTACGTGGCTGCTTCAAAATCCTACTTGGCAAAGAATCATGCTTCGTAATTAGGTTTGGACAAATAATATTGATATATTAATAATTAATAATCTAGGTTAGGACATTCTATAAATATTATTTAGCTAACTTAGGTATTTTAATATCACTTGTACTAATATAACCCTTTAATTCTTTGTAATTTTACATAGTGAGGCACTAAGTGACTAATATATCCATGACTTTTGATTTGCTTCCTTCAATTAGCTATTGAATTGTAAATGTATTTTAAAAGTTGATAACTTTTGTTCTTCTTATCGGTTTTACATATATAATATATCAAATTAATCACCTTTTGATGATGTTCGATTTGACATCCATATTGTATTTATTAAATAAATAAATTATATTTATCTTTATAAATAAAAAATAATAATATTTATTAAAATTCATTAGAAAAATAAAATTATTTCTCAATTGATATATTTATGTTTAATGTAGTTATATGCAGTAAGTTATAAAAAAATGTTATAATATAACACAGGTAAGTCGCACAAATAAAAAGTTTAATACTTAATATATAATAATATATACTAGTACAACACCCGTGTATTACACGGGTGCTTGTTAAAAAATTATTTTTAAATTTTAAAATAAATGAGAAAACTATATTAAATTTTGTTTACTTTTTTACAAAAAAAATATATATTACTATATATTTGAGAATGATATGTGTTACTTATGAATTACATGTGTTATATTATATTAGTTTTTATAACTTATATCATATAACTACTTGAAATATAAATATATTAGTTGATAAATGATTTTATTTTTCTAATTTATATTAAAAATAATTTTATTATTGTTATAAAGATAAATATAAATTATTTTTTTATACATACAATATGGATGTTAAATTGAAGCTCATCAAAAGAAGATTAATTTGATATATTACATATGTAAAACTAATAAAAAATACAAAAGTTATTAACTTTTAAAATATATATACAATTCAATAGTTATAATAAGGAATGATATTAAAATATAATTAATAAATGTAACATGACCATAAATAATCAACATATTTATGGTAATCCGAACCTAATTATTTTTGGTTTGGAATTAAATTAAAATTTACTCAAGCCTAATAACGAAGCATGTAATTTTGCCACATAAGATTCCGAAGCACCAAAAGCAGCCACGTAGACTCAGCGCGTTCTGTATTAATATATAGGGGGATTCTTATAAAAGGTTTTAAATTTTCAACTATTTTTTTCTCATTAATTTTAGATTTTAAATAAAAAATTAACAAGCACACGTGTAATACACGGACGTTGTACTAGTTATTATTATATCAATATTATTTGTCCAAACCTAATTACGCAGCATGATTCTTCGCCAAGTAGGATTACGAAGCACCAGAAACAGCCACGTAGGCTCAGCGCATTCGAGAATTATATATAGGGAGGATAACTCTTTTAAGTCATATTAGATAACAATTTAATTAATAAATATTTTTATGATTTATCAATTGATATTGATACATAATTAAATTTTTATTTTAAAGATAAATATGCATATTTATTTATATATATGCAATATAGATGTAAAATTGAAGTTCGTTATAAGCCGATTAATTTGATATAACATATATGAAATCTTATAACAAATACGAAATTTATTAAAAATATAATTGTAGTTTAAGTTGGTCAATTGTTTTACCATTTTAAAACTTCTAATATGCATGTAAGAAGTCAATGTCTACTTGTACTGCTCCATATAAAACACACGCTTGGGGTTTAAGAATCATCATAATTCGACACATAAAATTACGAAACATAAGAAATCGACACGTAGGATCATGACATTTTGTGAAATCGACATGTAGGATCATGACATTTTGTATTGAGCGTGAGATTTATCTTATCACAATTTCTCTTGTGAATAGAAATGCATACTTATACAATCAAATCTAATAGTCTTCTCCAACCATGCACCACAAAGCTACTATTTTGCGGAAAAAGTTTTTAGTGTTGCTCTACATTTTCACACTATTTTTAAGACAACTGACAACAACAACGCAATATTATCTACGATGCTACAATTATTTTTTCGAATTTTTAATTTTTAATTGATTTTTCTTTTTTGTTCAAAATTTTAAATTTAATTGTTTTTTATTTCCAAATAATATCCTAATAAAATATACATCAATAAAATGATTTATTTTATTAAATAATTTTAAATTTTAGTTTTATAATTGTAATCAAATTTTACTTTTTTTTTTTTTTTTGGTAAAAAAAGGAGGCCAAGGCCTAAGTCTAGACTATAACTTGGTGGGGATAAGACACTCGGATAGCATCATGCTCGAGCCAATCACCCAATGTTGGAAATTTTATATTTTATTTTAATATAAATTCTAGTGTCTTAAACCGCACGGTCGACATTCCAGCCCCACGCGCCACCCCGCTGCAATGCAGCTAGTGCGAGCGGAACAGGCGCCGCCATGTATCAAGTGACCGAAGTTGTGGTTGAGCATATTCCTACCCTTTTGGAGTTCAAAAGCTTCTGAATCAATTTGTTAAAGTAAGCTCCATACTGACTTATTACTTGGGACAGTGAAGTTATGATCTGTGCATTTTGTTTCTATCTCGATTATTCCATTAATTTCGTTTACCATACTTGTTATTTTTTTTTTTCCCAATTTTCGGCATATCGGAACTAGTTTGGAAAGGCAACAGCTTGGGAACTTATTTGCTCAAAAAATTTAGTTTCTTGAATCAAGGTGACCTAGGTCGTTGGAGAATACGATACTGTTGTATTTCTTAGCTCTGATTATCTGGTTCAGGAACCTGAGTGGTCCAGTGAGATGGGGTCGACAGAAAAGGATGTCGAAAATGAAATAGTAAGGGACTCGGTAGATGGACAAGTGTTGGTAAAAGAGGAGCCTTTATCTGGCAGTGGAAATAGTAGTGGAAAGACGAGTTCTGAACGTAAAAATGCTTTATCGTATGCTAACATTCTCCGCTCGAGGAACAAATTTGTGGATGCCGTTGCTGTCTACGAGAGTGTGTTCGAGAGGGATGGTGAAAACGTTGAAGCTTATATTGGTAAAGGGATTTGTCTGCAGATGCAAAACTTGGGGAGGCACGCATATGAGAGTTTCGCTGAAGCCGTAAGGCTGGAACCACAAAATGCAAGTGCACTCACACATTGTGGTATCTTGTGTAAAGATGAGGGTCGTCTGGTGGAGGCAGCTGAGGTAAACATGGTTGCACTCATCGCAGCTCAATGTCACCTTTTGAATTTATGATTGTCTATTTCTTTGAAGAACTGCTTATTATACTTTTTGAATGAGATCGGTTACTCTTTAAAAATCTTCAGTATTTGTCTAATATGTCGGAAGGTGCTGATATAGCCTGACAGATTATGTTAATGTTCTAGCATTTGTAATATCGGCTGTTTGAATTTGTCTTAAGTGCTCCATTTCTCAACTCTTTCGCTCCTCCCATTTTTCTTTTTCCTGTCATCAATGTATGAGATTGAGATCTCATGGTGGAGAGATTACTATTTCCCAATTCAGGCTTTATCAAGTCCATCCAACTCCCTTGTCCAATTTTGCTCTTGGTGCAGATGTATCAGAAAGCTCTAAAGGCTGACCCATCATACAAGCTAGCAGCAGAATGCTTGGCAATTGTCTTAACAGATCTTGGCACCAGCCTAAAGCTTGCTGGAAACTCCCAGGAGGGAATTCAGAAGTACTATGAAGCTATTAAGATTGATCCACACTATGCTGTAATTCCTTGTTAACCAGCTTAGATTAGCATATTTGCTTATCACTAATATTAGTGTCCAGGAATTTAAATTTTGATGCATCAGCTTTCTGTATGCAGCCTGCTTACTATAACCTTGGTGTTGTGCATTCGGAAATGATGCAATATGACACGGCCCTTAATTTTTATGAAAGAGCTGCTGTAGAGAGACCCATGTATGCCGAAGCCTATTGCAACATGGGTGTTATCTATAAAAATCGTGAGGATTTGGAGTCAGCAGTAGCCTGTTATGATAGGTGCTTAATTGTTCATTTTGCCACGTCACTATGAATTACTGGCTTGGTGGTCTTTCGTCTATCTGATATAGTATGGGTTTGTTTCTTGGTATTATGCTGTGCAGGTGTTTAGCTGTTTCCCCAAACTTCGAGATTGCAAAAAATAACATGGCCATTGCCTTAACAGATTTAGGCACAAAGGTATTGTTTCTTTCTCCTCCTGTTTATGTCATATGGAACTCAGCTGCCCATGGATTGGCAAACATACCCTTCTTATGGACCAGAGAAAAGGAGATGGGTTGTGGTCATTAAAGTTTGAACAATTGCAGTTTTTGTATCATTGTATTTACTCATTTCTCTTGTTATAAGCGACATGATGATTATACATCCTATCGTTGTTTGAAATTAGCAAATGCTAAAGCTTTTCGCCCGATTCATCTCCTGTTATTCTTATTTGTTGGCTGTTAACATCATTGTATAGAATCAATCGTCTTTGAAGAAAACTATGGGTGTGGCGTTTAGATTGTGTACTGCATCGTAACACATTGGTTTTCTCACACTCATCATTGAATATATATCATGAATTTGTGGAATTGGCTATTTGGCTCACTATGCTTCTTTGCAGGTTAAATTGGAGGGTGACATCAACCAGGGTGTTGCATATTATAAAAAGCTCTTTGCTATAATTGGCACTATGCTGATGCCATGTACAACCTTGGAGTTGCTTATGGGGAAATGCTGAACTTCGACATGGTAATTGAAATAAAATGCTTGTCCAAATTTGTGTTTTTATTTGCAAGCTTGTAATCTTAGAAAGTTTTAATCCGAGGACATCACTTGAGATTTGCCATGGATGTCGTTTCTTTTATACACATTTTGATTCATCTTATAAGCAATATAAATATTCTACTTTTTATGTGTGTGTCTTTATAACTGCCAAATGCGGAAGATACTCCTGAATCGTTCCATCCTTTTTGGATGCTTCTTGATTGATGTATTATAATAAACCTGATTATCATTTTTATTTTTAAATTGACATACCTACTTATGTAGGCTATTGTATTTTATGAACTTGCATTTCACTTCAATCCCCATTATGTGGAGGCATGCAACAATTTAGGGGTGCTATACAAGGACCGTGAAAACCTCGATAAAGCAGTAGAGTGTTACAAGGTAAATATGAAGCTTGTATGTTTATTAATAAGCACATCCTATGTTTGGCTGTATGCTCATCGTATGTATATGCATTTGCAGATAGCTTTATCTATAAAACCTAACTTTACACAGTCACTGAACAATCTTGGAGTTGTATACACTGTCCAGGTCTAGTATCTAAGTTTTCTTTTCCTTTTCTTTTTTGGTATGTTTTAATATCATTGTGAGTACTATCATTAATACTGTTTTTGTTATTATTTATTATCATTCAGTGCTTTCAGCTTGGATGTTAAGTTCTGAGCTTTATTTCTTCGTATAGGGTAAAATGGATGCTGCAGCAAGCATGATTGAGAAAGCTATTGTTGCAAATCCGACATATGCAGAGGCATATAATAATTTGGGTCTCTCTCTCTCTCTCTCTCTCTCTCTCTCTCTCTCTTCCTCCCCATCTTCACATTGCCAAAACCATTATCTACTTTGATAATGGGGTTTCCTACCACTGTTCTCTTGGTACAAGGGAGCTTGTTTAAGGATTCAATCATACAAATAGTAAAGGTTTTTTAAAATTTCGAATTTATGTAAGATAATATCAAATTCGTGTAACCAACCTTGGCTAGGTGGATATTATGGCAATATGTGTGCATTACCTACACTCATGGGGCTTCCCTATACAACTCTTTCCCCTTCAAGACTCTTATACTCCTAACTAGTCTACAATACTCTTGACCCATCTACACGAGTCTCTAAAAGATCTCTCCTACCGTTAAGCACTCAGATAGAGGTAGACAGAAGACCTATTTGCTGGTTTCGGGTTTGGTTAGATGGAAAATTTGTGAAGGGGTTGGGCAGCAGGGTTCATGGTTGGATTAGTTGAAAGGACACCTGTAAAAGTTTTCATATATATATATATATATATACATAATATCTTTGCATCCATATCGTGGCCAGTCTCATAAGTAGTTCTTTCGAATGTGCAGGGGTAACATATCTTTAGCAGTTGAAGCATATGGGCAGTGCCTCAAAATAGATCCACACTCTCGGAATGCAAGCCAGGTACCGCTTCTCTTATCTGTGAATGTTTACCTCAGGTTATGTTTGAACATTTTATTCCGTCGTGGATCTGCTCTCTCTTCCTGAAACCTGGCATATTTTGGAGTACAAGAATACAACACTTATTTATCATGTTCACGAGATATCTGAAGTGTGCCAGTGAACTTTATTGTCCATATTGTGGGTCATCACATTAGCAGACAAACAGTAGGGTCAAACAGTAAGGTGAAGAAGGTGCAAGTCTCAGGATTTAGCTATTGTCCGTGTTCTTTGATTTATTTTTAACTTGTATTACTTTTCTGGTTAATTTTCCTCCTGGCGGTTCCTTTCTCTTTGATTTATGAATTTGTGGCAGGTTCGGTGAGGAAAAAATTGTTCATTTGCCTTCCCTATATGATCATTCAAATTTCATTTGAGTTTCACTTGTAATATAAATTGTGTGAAACTTTTGAATTAGCTTGTTTATGCTTAATAATACTATTATTAACCCATTATTTGGTGGTGCAACAATGGTGTGTTCCTTTAAATCCTATACCCCTCAACCCCCAACCCACCCCCACACGAACACTGCATTCCAACTCTGCTAAGTTCACCACAAAAACAGAAAGGAAGGCGAGAAAGTAAATGACAGTGGCACCTCATGCATGCATGCTCAGTTGCATTATGCCTTTATCTGAGGGCATGTACTTCTAGTAGTCGTATTTTTATTTCTTTAAAAGTTTTAAACAAAGATTAGTGATGGAACAAGATATCATGTGTCTGGGTGTTGGTGGTCACTTTAGGAGTGGTATTTTAGGTTTGAAGCTTAATGATAAGGAATGGATGACCGTAAAGTTTTATTACTTTCTTTTAGCATAATCTTGGTTGAAGCTCTGCCATTTATGATCTTTCTGACTATTTTATATATATGGATGGATGGCTGGATGGATAGACTCTTTGAAGCTTGTTTATTGTCTAAATTATTAAATGCACATCTTGCAGAATCGCCTACTTGCATTGCACTACATAAATGAAGGCGCAGACGATAAATTATATGATGCTCACAAGTCTAAACTTTAACCATATGTACTTGTCCTTTCCTAATATGATGGACATAAAACTTTTTTCAAAAATTATAATGTGAGAAAATTCTTTTCATGTGCCGTGCTTCGCAAATGCATGTGCATGTATCTGTCGGACTATAAATGCTTTTCTTGGGCATGTATCCATGTAGGGTTGTGAACGGATCGAATCGAAACGAATACTCAACTATTTAATTCAAATTCGTGAAAATATTCGACTATTCATATTCATATTGGTATCCGTTATTGAATTTAATTTGCGATTCATATTCAATCCGTTTTGAAATTTGTATTCAGAATTTATTTATAGACATATATTTATGTGAAAATATAAGATAGAAAAAAATAAATACAGAAATATATTTTTCTGAAAAATAATATTTTTTAAATATAAATTATATGTAGAATATAAATATATTTTTATATAATATATATTTATATATATAAATAATATTTTATATTCTTTATAATATATTAAATTTTAAAGAATTACTATTAACGAATCGATTATTCGATAATTTTGAATCGAATATGTGCATATTCGGATTCAGATTTGAACTACGTTCGAATACTAAAAATTCGAATACGAATTTTTAGGAATACGAATCACGAATCGAATAAAAAAAGTTGATTCTTTTACAACCCCATGTCCATGTGATCTTGTCATGTACATATATTTTGATTTTTAGTAGGTAATGTGCATCATTTCATCACTAATATTGAACTACGATACGTGTTCATTATGCATTTGTTTTTATAGGAATTTAGACTTTTACATTGAACCCGAAAAGTCGAAGTAAACAAACATTTATTGTACTGTACTTTTCAGATTGGTCTACTATTCACTGACAGTAAATATAATTTGTTTCTTGTACTGAAATTTGTAAATAGAACCCAGATGTTGTCATATTCCTGGTGTTGGTTTAATGTTAGAATACTTGGCTTTCTAGAATCATGAACACCGGCTCATGGCATGTGTGCATTTTCATTATCTACCTTTCCGTACTTACCATCTCCTGTAACTCACAAAATTTATTCCCGGTGAAAATGGAAGCTTTCGGTAAACAACTTATCTTTTTCTAGAACTTGTGAGTGGTTGGATTTGGAACCTGATGCCAGAACGCTAGATAGAGATTACTTGTGACATTTAATGGTATCTAAAATTACGTTGTGAGCCGATATTAATTGATTTTCTGCAAATGCCTGCTGTCAAAACTCCTCATATGCACATCAAAGACACATGGTTACGGAACTTTGGAATGAATCTTTCAACAGATCCCTTGAGTTCTCTATGTTTTTTCTGAGTCAAAAATCAAGAAATTTTTCTTGCATTTCTCTGACAGTGGTGGCTAAATTTTTCATTTAAATGACATTGATATTGCGACTATTTTTTCTATTAAAATGTATAACTGCAGGGACTGGGGTAGGCGCTTTATGAGATTATTTCCGCAATATACTTCCTGGGAAAACATCAAGGATCCAGAAAGGCCTCTTGTTATTGCATATGTGTCTCCTGATTATTTTACTCATTCTATGTCATATTTCATTGCGGCACCGATTATCTATCATGACTATGCAAGCTACAAGGTGGTTGTCTACTCAGCAGTCGTCAAGGTATAAAATGTTGCAGCCCTTCCTCACCAAGTTTCTTGAATTCTGCCCATTTTAACTGCCTAAAGGTGCAGTCACTTTATTTTTTCTTCCAGTCAAGTTTTTTATTGTTTAAAATGATTGGACTGTAGAACTCGAGAACTTTGAATATACTTTATGGATCTCCCTTTTACGATGTGGCAGGCAGATTCGAAAACAAACAGATTTAGGGATAGAGTCCTGAAAAATGGTGGAACATGGAGGGACATTTATGGGATTGATGAGAAAAAGTGGCGAGTATGGTTAGAGAAGATAAAATTGATATCTTGGTGGAACTCACTGGTCATACGGCAAATAACAAGCTGGGAATGATGGCTTGGCCTGCACCTGTTCAGGTATTTATGATTCTATAAGTTAATTTACTTCATCTTTTGATGTTGAACGGGCATTTGACCTTCTATTTCACTTTGTTATTGTTTTGTGGGAAGAGTTCTTTCTCATGTGGCCTTTGAAGTTAGAATAATCAATGCTTAAATCTTGTTATATTAGTCTATGTTTGGTAAACCTAGATGATAGCTGATAAGTGAATTTCGAGCTTATAGCTAATAGCTTATATGTGAATTTCGAGCTTATAGCTGATAGCTTATGACTTATGGCTGAAAAGCTAGCTTATATGATAAAAGTATTCAGTGACATTAACCGATAAGCTAGTTGAAATAAAAATTTCAACAGGCTTATTTCAGAAGCTACCCAAGGAAGCTTGGCCTTGTTTGGCGATCAGCGGATAGCGGATAGCGGATAGCGGATTGCGGATAGCGGATTATATTAGCTGATTTGACTAGCGGATTGTATTAGCGGTTTTTAAATAAGTGTTTGGTAAATAGCTGAAAGCTTATAGCTGTTTGACATTGCAAATTACCAATAAAGACATTTTATTATTTATGGTGTATTCTTTTGATAATAATATATTAAAACATTTAATATTTTTTAGTTGGTAATTTATAAATATCTATTTTTTTTAAAACAAAATACTAACAATTGATCAAGAAGTTATGAATTTTACATTTTTCTAGATAAATTAATCATATAGATGATATATTATTATTTGTTAGCATCATAAACCAATGTAGATTGTAAAATAAATAATACTAATTAAAAAGTTCTAAATTAAAATTGTAGATTGTGAATCCTCTATCCCAAAAAGCTCCTCTAATGAGCTTTTTCTAAATTAGAGTTTTGGGCCTAAAAAGCTTATCAAATAAGCTATTTACCAAACAAACTCAATAGCGGTTTTGACGGGTCAAACCTCTCAATTAAGTCCAATCCGCTAATTTATCCTCAATCCGCTATCTTCCAAACGGGGCCCTTATGAGATAAGATCGAGCTTTTTTAAGAAGCTCGTCCTCCGAAACCAAGCTTATTTGGATACATGAAGCTTAAAAGCTAATCAAATAAGCTATAAGCTAGCTTATGGTGCTTACCAAACACACTCTTAATCTTGTTAGTTTTTATTTGTTCACGTTTGTAGTACACTGAAATATACAAATCAACTTGGACCCTCTGTAGGACTTCTAACCATTGGTTCATATTTTATATGTTATATCTAGCAGAAGTTCTAAAATCGACTTTCAAATACTTGAACAAAAAAATTCATCACTTGAGAATGCTTAAAAAGCTTCGATTCAGACCCAAGACTAAGGAAAACATCACATCTGCTAATGGCTTATGTTTGTCCGTCGGTATAGCAGGTGACATGGATTGGCTACGCTAATACAACTGGTTTGCCTGCCATTGATTACAGGATAACGGATGCACTAGCAGACCCGGTTGACTCAAAGCAGAAGTGAGTTTAGCTTCTCAAAGTCTTCTTCTGCTTCACACTTACAATGTATACCATAGCCTACTTTTAGCTTATTTAAAATACCACTCAACTTTCTGTTAATGGCAGGCACGTTGAGGAGTTGGTTCGATTACCCGACTTCTTTCTATGCTACACTCCTTCCCATGAAGCAGGGCCCGTTTCTCCCCCTCCTGCTCTAGCTAATGGATTTGTCACTTTTGGTAGCTTCAACAATCTCGCTAAGGTTTTTGAACAATTATTTATTATTATTATTTTTTTTTTTGGTTTTAACATTTGATTAGTCTCATGTGTTTAAGTATTCCAACTTCATCAGATAACACCTAGGGTGCTGCAAGTCTGGGCTAAGATTCTATGTGTAGTCCCAAATTCTCGGCTTATTGTCAAGTGCAAGCCCTTTTTCTGTGATAGCGTAAGACAGCAATTTCTTACAACCCTGGAGAAGTTGGGATTGGAATCACACCGTGTTGATCTTCTGCCTTTAAATATTCTCAACCACGACCATATGCAAGCGTATTCTTTAATGGACATCAGGTGATTGGTGATTTTATCCTTTTGCACTTGAAATAGGATGAAGCAGTTTAACCCATTGAAGTCAAATATTCGAATGTGGATCAAAATTGCTACTCCTAACCTATAAGGAAGAAATGAAGTGTTATGATATGGCATCCTTGTTATTTCTGTGACGTGTTCAGATCATTCTGGTGTTTTTGGAGCTTTACATTAATTTACATCATGTAGCTGAATGTTAGGTACAAATCGTACACACGATGATATGCTTCGATCACATATATGATATGCATACTAAAGGATATCTTATGGGAGCAACACAGAGTCTAAGTAGCAAAGTATTTGTTTTATTTTGTAAAAAAATCATTTCTTTGACGAAATCTTCAAGATAATTACGGTGCATGACTACTTTATGAGGCTAACAGAAATCTCTCTTTTTTTAGCTTGGATACCTTCCCTTATGCAGGCACAACCACTACTTGTGAGTCGCTATACATGGGAGTGCCATGCGTCACCATGGGAGGTTCAGTTCACGCTCATAATGTTGGTGTGAGCCTTCTCGAAACAGTTGGTATGTATTCATTTATTTTTCTCTTTAATTATTTTTCTTCCTTTACCATTATCAGTATATCCTTGTATCCAGTTGATAATTTGTGGAGTATCCTACTTGGGATTTTTTTTTTTTTTTTTCCTTGCTAATTAGACTAAGATCTTATGGGTAGTTTTTGTAAGAGAAAATTTCATTATTAGTCCTGTATGTTATCAACCATAATTTTTTAATCCCCTTCGAAATCCTGTTTTGAATTTTGTCCCTTATGTTTGCAATAAGGTTACAAAAGGTCCTTTTCGCAACAAAAAGGTTCCCTTCAAATTTGCAAAAAGGTTGCAATTTCGTCCCTTATGTATGCTCGGGACCTTTTTGTAACCTTTTTGCAACCATAAAGGACGGAAATCAAAACTTGACGAAAAAGTTATGTTGATAACATAGAGGTCTAAAATTTGAGCAATTCAAAGGGGACAAAATCAAAACAACCACTTCTAAGGGGTCGAAAAAGTTAGGGTAGTGAAACATACAGGAATAAAATTGCAATTTTCTCTTTCTGTAAGTAACCCAAAACTTTATTGATTATTTGATAGAGAGTTGCATGTACTCCACCTCAGGGCTGAACAATCTAGTGGCAAAGAATGAAGACGAATACGTGAAAATGGCTGTACAGCTGGCGACGGACCTTAATGCCCTCTCGAGCTTGAGAATGAGATTGTGTGATGTCATGCTCAAATCTCCCCTATGTAATGGACCCAAATTTATCCAGGGCCTCGAGTTAGCATTCAGGAACATGTGGAGAAGGTACTGTAAGGATGACATTCCTTCTCAAAAGCGTATGGAAATGGAGGAATTGCAGTCTCCACGGCCACTCGATCCACAAAACGTTGTTCCGCAAGAAATGTCGGAGAAATTTTGTTGTCAGTAGTATTTCACCGATTGAGGCCCAATAGGTTTTAAAATTGAGCAACATATTGAACTTGGACGGCCCTCATGAGTGTGATCCGCGATGGAATGGCTAATGTAATTCACGAAGGAAAAAGCCCACTGTAGCATTATTTAACGGGACGGGACAAGACGCTTATATATACCTTTGGAGTCGAATGTATCGAACATCGATAGAGCAGTTGTATGATCAGCATAAAAAAAAATGTATCGAAATATAAAGTCTGGTCAATGAACATGAAATAGTGGTGTTTTTATCCTTTGTGTGTGTGTGTGTGTAAGTAGGTTTTGCAAATCCTGCATACTGGAATTAGTATAAGGATTGATAGTCTTGACAGAAAAAGTTTATTGTCCCTTTATTGTCAGCTGTAAATTGGATTTGTGCTTTTTTGGTGTATAGGAGCACGAGTGTGAAGGATGTAATACTACTATGTATGTAAGGTTATAAGTTAAAAGTTTTGCATATTGGGAAGTTGGAAGACCCGTGACGATGAACAAAATGGGCCTCCGAGTTAGAGTTAAATCAGTCACAAAATAGTTCCCAAGCGAAAACAAATTCCCACACAAGTGTATCGATTACAGAAAGCATCGTAACATTCGAATAGCAGCACAACAGACCAAACATAAAAGACAGATCCTACAATAGAGTGTTGCCATGAATGCTTCATCTTAACAGAATTTTTCAAAATCAGTGACAACTCTCACTTGAGCAGCTTCAGAAGCTATTCATTTGAAATTCGATGTGCCATTGGCTATTCCTTAACAGTTGCCCTCAGAATCTTCACATCATGAATAGGCCTGAATTAACCGAGCACTAAAATTCATTAATATTTTCCAAATCCAGGTTTGTCATGCAAGGAGACGTTGAAGGTAAATAATTAAACAAGCTTTAACACGTAACTACACCGAATATAAGGTAGAATCACCACCCATATACAATGAGTTTGTGAATACAAGCATCATAATAAGAATAGGTCAGATTATTTGAAAACATGCACAAAGATGGGATAAATGATATGCTCTATATGGTTTTGACTCCATGCTCCACAGTTATATATAACCAATGTAATCTCTACGCTAAGGCTCACTTTTGAACCAGAACACCATACAAAATTTCAATTAAGGTCCCAATGTGTATCTTGTTTTAGAAGAACTAACCTTCTCAATATAGTTTCATTAGGTAAACACCCAATAACAACATAGAATAAAGCTTTACCGGTCAGTGTTATCAGTTTGAACAGTGCCAAGTCTCTTGATAATTTCCATTCCTTTGCATACTCTTCCGAAGATAGTATGTTTCCCTGTCAAAACAAAATTTTGACAAGTGTATATTTAACAGTTATTAATAAATAATGGCATGTTAGTAAAACGAAATTGAAAACCTATGCAAATAATATATAAAAGAACCAGTTATCCAATACAGTGGAGGTTGAGTCACCCAACCAGAAGCATCACATGGCTTACAATAGCATGTTAAAAACTAGTTTTAGTTAAGAAGGGAGCCTAACTTCACACCAAATACAAGTTGTTGCTGATAAAATATTGTTCCACTGGAGAACACATTATCACACAAATCCAAACAAACTGCAAACCAATCAATTTAATAATTTATTTTTGAAATGGAAATCCTGACTTTCAGAACTCACAAGGACTGAAGGACCTCTGAAAGACGAAGGCATTTACATATTATACGTAATATGAATATCTATGACAAAGTGTAACAAAGACATCATATATTGAAAAGTTCAATTCGCTCTCGCACTTACAATGAAATGAAGTTGCTATATGCATGAATGAAAGTTATCTAAAAAATGCTCACCATCCAGAGAGGGTGCAGGTGCCAGAGTTATAAAGAACTGGCTTCCATTTGTATTCGGACCAGCATTCGCCATGGATATGATACCAGCTCCAGTATGCTTCAACTCTCTATTTATCTCATCCTCAAAGTGCTTACTGCAGTAAAGAAGAAGAACGACACCTAAATTTCAATCAGAAGTTCAGAACTATAGGAATGTAGCAGGATGAGTTAGAGCATTACCAATAATCACACTCAAAGAAATTTGTGGACAAATCTGGGAATAGTTAGTTAATACTTAATTCACACAATATCTTGAAATTCAAAGTACTAAAGTGGTATAGAAGATGAACTTCACAAATTCTTGTATGAGACTGCTTTAACCATTAGGCGGGTCGACCCATCATACTTCTCGAAATGCATACTTATACTATCGAATAGTCATACCATTAGGAAAATTGACCCGTCAATATCTTGAAATTCAAAGTACTAAAGTGGTATAGAAGATGAACTTCACAAATTCTTGTATGAGACGGCTTTAACCATTAGGCGGGTCGACCCATCATACTTCACGAAATGCATACTTATACTATGGAATAGTCATACCATTAGGAAAATTGACCCGCCATACTTCTTTAACAACATCACTGAATATAAACATTGATACAGAGAGACTGCTCGATAATCCAGGAAAAAAAGAGATCCGATCAATCCCAGGCAAGTCGAAACTTGCACCTTAAATAGAACTGCGAACACGAAATGCAAAACTAACACATTGCATCCGAAATAAAAAAAAATTAAACCTCATATGTCGCCCTAGAAATCCATGTTCTACTTGATGATGAACAGATTAGTACTAACAGCCTACATCATGAGCCCAAGCTGAAAAACGGAAGTAACAAAAATCTAACAACAGAACAGGAAATACAAATACCCATAGATGGATTCGCCGCCTCTCCCAGTTCCGGTTGGATCACCTCCTTGCACTATAAAATCCTGTAAAAATAAATAAATAAAATTTATACACAATTTATCCAAAGTCAAGAACCATGTCCAATAATAAGAATCTCATTTTCAAGAGAGAATAAACAGTAAACGGAAGCGAGGTACGAGCCTTTATGATTCGATGGAACTTGACGTTGTTGTAGTAGCCTTTGCGAGCGAGGGTCACAAAATTCTGGCAAGTCCTCGGCGCGTGGTGGTAGTACATCTCGACCGTGAACGGTCCCATAGAAGTTTCTAGAGTCACCTCCGGCGGCCCGCCGTCGGCGCTCGCCAGAGTCTCTCTCCTCGCCATCGATTTTGCAGAAGTGCGCGGTTGCGAGTTGTTTATGCTTGCGACTCGAATGGGTCGGCTCAAGGTTTTTTTTTTTTTTTTTTTCTTTGGGTCATGCGAATCGGGTACGGGTAAATTCGTTTTATCACTTACTAGCTGGTGCAATAACAATAAACTAAAATATGTAATAAGAAATATTAAAATTATTTTATAAATAAAAATAAAAATAAAAATTCAATAATCAATAATCAAGCTGATAAGGAGGGCTGCAATTTTATGACCGAACTCGAGCATGTTATCGAGTCGATCTCGAGTATAGATTTTGGAAGGTCGCGAACGACTCGAGATAGATAGTGAAGTACTAAAATACCCAATATATAAATATTATAATATTTTAATATGCACTTAATGGTAATTTTACTTGAAATTTGAGTCGAAGTTGAGCCGTGCTCCAACATTTTGATTGCAATTGATCTCGAGCCGAGCTCGAGCAATTGGCTTATTTTATTGAGTCAATCTCGAGCGTCATAAACTGAGCTCGAACAAGTAAAAAAAAAAAAAAAAAAAAACTTGGTAAGACCAATGTTCGACTAGACAAGTAAATTCCATCAAACTTATTTTGTTCGAAGATCTTTTAATCGATAATCAAAATCGGAATCTGGTATTAACACGACACTAGTGTTGATACCCGTGCGATGCACGGGGTGCAAGACAAAAAATATTTTTCATTTAAATATTATAAAATTATTTAAGACAACATGAAATTATATTCTTTACGATATTCTATTTAATAATAATATGACATTTATTTATTTACTATCATTGTTAATTTCTATTTTTTTATAAATTCTTTTTTTTGTAGTTTTTGACTATTTAATATATAAATTTTATTATTTATAAGTTTTTGAAAATATATAAATCTATAAGATCATATGATATTTGTATACAAATTACTTGTATGTACTTATAAAATTGTTGTTTATCATAGTCGTATATTTTTTTTAACAATTCAAGATTTGCATATTGATTGATAATTGACCTACGTTTAACTCATGATATGTATCTTTCGCTATAATTATTAAGTGCATTAAATGTTAAAAACTTTGATAAATAAATTTTAATTTTTAGTAACTTCAATCCTTATGCAACACAAAATTTTTTATGGTTAAATATTCTATTTTTCTGTTTTTATGTTTTTATTTATTAATTCATTTTCTCAACATATATAATGAGTTACATAGTATCTATTCGAATATATAGATGTACTAGTACAACACCCGTGTATTACACGAGTACTTGTTAAAAAATTATTCTTAAATTTTAAAATTAATGAGAAAACTATATTAAATTTGATTTATTTTTTTACAAAAAAAAATATATTACTATATATATATATATATATATATATATATATATATATATTGGAATGATATGTGTTACTTATGACTTACATGTGTTATATTATATTAATTTTTATAACTTATATCATATAACTACTTGAAATATAAATATATTAGTTGATAAATAATTTTATTTTTCTAATTAATATTAAAAGTAATTTTATTATTGTTATAAAGATAAATATAAATTATTTTTTTAATACATACAATATGGATGTTAAATCGAAGCTCATCAAAAGAAGATTAATTTGATATTACATATGTAAAACTGATAAAAAATACAAAAGTTATTAACTTTTAAAATATATATACAATTTAATAGTTATAATAAGGAATGATATTAATACAATTAATACATGTAACATGACCATAAATAATCAACATATTTATGGTAATCCGAACCTAATTATTTTTGGTTTGGAATTAAATTAAAAATTACCCAAGCCTAATAACGAAGCATGTAATTTTGCCACGTAGGATTCCGAAGCACCAGAAGCAGCCACGTAGGCTCAGCGCGTTCTGTATTAATATATATATATAGGGGGATATAGGGGGATTATATATTTCCATGAATACCATGGGTTATAATATAAATTATTATACATGCTTTTTTATTAACTTATTTTCATTAATAAAATAGTATATAAGAAAAATATATATTTTTTAAAAATTGAATAGTCTTTTAATGTACATAGATACTTTTAGTGAAATTTATAGTTCCGAATTGCAACCAACCATCAAATTTTATTTTTATTAATATATTATTTAAATTTCAATAGTATTATCACTGCATATGATATATTCAGTGGGGATATTTTTTATAATTAAATAGACTGCTATTTAGAAAATTTTATTAATATTTTGAATTATTTATTATGTTATTATTACTTAAACATAGTTAAATTGACTATATTTTAAGTACTTTTGAATAGTGAATATAATTAATTAAATTAATACCTACAACCATAGATGATAATATGTTTAATCAAATCGATTTTCATATTAATTTTATGAATTGTGTCAATAAATTACTATTAAATTAATATATATATCTCATTGAAAATATATCTAATAAAGATCTACGGTTAAGTCAATTTGTAGTTAAAAAATAACTAGTACAAATCCCGTGCGATGCACGGGGTGCACAAAATTAAAGTCATATAATTATATAAATGAATAAAGAAAAATGTACGGGATATATATAGTACGTAACCTGTAATAGGCCAAAATGTGAACACGGGTGATGCACGGGATGCACAATTTTATTGTGATTTGTTAGTACAGAGTCGGTGCGATGCACGGGGTGCACAATTTTCTAGTATGTGTAATACAATTACATATCGTATGCACGGGACAAAAGCACTAAATGAGTTATTTCACATAGCTTGCCCGTTAAGTAGCTCCTGAACACGGGTGCACAATTTGTAGTACGTACTATAAAATCAGAACAAATTTCTATACAATTAGATAATAAATAAAGTCTTTTTTATTTAAGTAAAAAATTTACGTAATTTTTTTTACTTATCGGATGTTATGGAATTTTTTTTGTTAAACCGATTTTATGGGATATAATACAAATATAATTAGAGGAATGAACAAAATCTGAACAGATTTATATACAATTAGATAATAAGAAGGAATTAGATAAGGAAAAGAAGAAATTAGATAATAAATTTTGAATCTACCTTTTTTTTTAGTATAGATAGACTTTACGTACAAATTTTGACTGCACCGATTTTATGAGATTTGTTTTGACAAAATCAAAGACGAACACTGAAGACTGTTTCTATTAACATTTCTACTGTGTATTTAATGTTTTTTTGGCAAAATATTCTTTTTAAGTGTGATATATAAATATTAAAAATACTTAAAATATTTTATAACATCTATAAAAGCATCTAAAATATTCTATATTATTCACAAATAATGTTTCAAGCTACCTAAATTTTTCTAAACTACCCGTAAGGAAAAAATATATATAAAAATTCTTCATTTAACCTACATATATGTATACATATAGAGAGAGAGAGAGAAAATGTGTAAAAAAAATTATACAAATAATATTTAAAAGTATCTTAAATATTAGTAATTAGACAGGTGAAATTTAAATTTTTAAAAAATCTATATAGATAATGGATTTATAGTAGTAATTAGACTTTTATTTATTTACCTTTAAAGTTGTTACGATAGAGGGATGTGATTTTTTTGACTCGTGGAGATGGAATTTTATAAACTGGGTTATGAATTTTTTCTTAAACTCATCCATATCTATGCGATGAGTTTTTTAAGCTAGGTATATAGATTTAAAATTGAAAAAAAAAACTTTCATAAATCAATTGATTTGGTATTTTCGGAGAGCTTCATTAATTTAAAAGTGTAAAATAAATAAATAAATAAAGTACAACTGAAAAAGTTATAACCAATTTGTATGGAGAATTAAACTAAATCCAATTTTGTAGGATGCATTAAATATTGATTAGATTTTACATTTAAAATAAAATAAAAAATAACTGGAATAGTTTTACGTGTTGCAATATTTTACATTTAAAAAAATTAAAAAATCTTCTTTTACGTATTGCATACCAACATTTTAGGAAATACATGGATATTCCTAAATTAATATTACATACCCAATATTTTAGGAACTAATCAAATGCTAATTTGATTTGCATACCAAAAATATTAGATGCATTAATTAAATGTTTGATAAAAATAACAAATCATTAATTAGGATTGACTATTCTACATACTACGTTTAGTAAATAGTATAGTTTTTAATATAAGTATAGATTTGATTTACATACCAAAAATATTAGATTCATTAATTAAATACTTGATAAAAATAGTAAATTATTAATTAAGGTTGACTATTCTACATACTACATTTAGTAAATAGTATAGCTTTTAATATAAGTATAGATAGTCTTTTAATGTATAGAAATTAATTATGTTTGTCATGCATAAAATTTGTTAATAAATAAATATTAAATAAATATCAAATATAGACGAAAAAATTTTCCCGCCAAAATCATTTTTATAGATATAAATATAGATATAGATATCGATTAGCTCCAATAAACCGCCACCGCCACCCCGCCCCACCGCCACCGTTTTCGCTCTCCCTACACCCTTCCTCTGCTTAGTTCTGGTGAGTACACCCCTCTCCCTTACTCGGCGTTTTTCTTATTAACTTCATTAAGTTTACTCCACCAACTGTGTTGCTATTTTGTTTATCTGATCTGAATGAACGCGCTTATCGTGAGCATCACCTCCGTTGATTCTCACCCTAAATGTGTTGTGGCTTCTGTGTGAAAATCGCCTTGTATCAGTTTCTCTTCATTTGGCGATGCAGTGAAAACCCTCAGCACCGATGGGTTTGATTTTTAAACCCGATTACTATTCCATTTGCTTTAGGATTTTTCTAATCAGGTATTGGAGTATGAAGCCCCGTTCTTGATCCCTTAATCACGTATTGGAGAAGCCAAATCTAAAATTACATAATGAAAATATTTGGGAATTGTTGAATTCATCCTTTTTTTACCGACCAAGTCGGATTAAGCCTGTGTTTTTAACTTACTGGTTGAGAATTTCACGAATTTTTTCTTGTTCTTCTGTTCGAAACTGTGATTCAGGACTGCAATTCATTGTGTTCTGTTTACTCTTGATCTGATTATGGGAACTGAGAAGAAACACAGAAACTGTTCTTGCCATTTTGATCTTTAGTTTTACAGCTGATTGGGGGTGAAACATTAGTTTGTGCTTATTACAACGATCACAATGCCTGACACCACCGGCGGCATCCCCTGGAATCAGGATGCAGAGTCCCTCTTCCGCTCAAAGCCCATCTCTGAGGTCCGGACTGTGGAGGCTGCCACCCGGAAGCAAATTCAGGCCAAGAGTGAGGAGCTCCGGCAGATGGTCGGAAACCGCTACCGTGACCTCATCGAGTCTGCCGACTCAATTGTCGCCATGAAGTCGTCGTGCGAGTCCATCTCTGCCAACATTTCTGCCATCCATAGCGCCATCCTCCACTCGCTCTCCTCCCCCGACGCTATCCCACGGTCCCCCAGTGCACCCGCTGGGACCCACGCCTACGGGATGGCATGCCGGGTCAAGTACCTCGTTGACACGCCGGAGAACATCTGGGGCTGCCTTGATGAGTCCATGTTCCTCGAATCCTCCGCGCGTTACATCCGGGCTAAGCTTGTGCACTCCAACCTGCTTGGATCCATGGACAGCAAGAAAGTGCTCTCTAATTTCCCTCTGCTTCAGCACCAGTGGCAGATAGTCGAGGGCTTCAAGGCTCAGATCTCGCAGAGGAGCCGCGAGCGGCTTCTGGACCAGACGATTGATCACGGAATAAGTGCTTATGCGGATGCCTTGGCTGCTGTGGCCATCACGGACGAGCTCGAGCCAAAGCAGGTCTTGACTCTGTTTTTAGACTCGAGAAAATCGATCATTTGGCAGAAGCTGAGTGCGTGCGACCGTGATGAGGGTGCAGCTAGTTCTGGAGTGATCTCTGCCTTGTGTGATGTTCTGAAGGTAATTCAGATCACAGTATGTCAGGTGGGGGAATTGTTTCTGCAGGTGTTGAACGACATGCCTTTGTTTTATAAGACCATCCTGGATACCCCTCCAGCTTCCCAGTTGTTTGGGGGCATACCCAACCCAGATGATGAGGAGAAGCTTTGGAATATGTTCAAGGACAAGCTGGAGTCCAACATGGTGCTGCTGGGCCGGGATTTTATTTCCGTGACTTGTTCCGACTGGCTTAGGAACTGCGGTAAGGAGATCACGAGCAAGATCGGTAGCAGGCACTTGATTGACGTGGTCAGGAGTGGCTCCGAACTTTCTCTGGCCGAGAAATTGATAAGGGAAACCATGGACAGCAAACAGGTCTTGGAAGGTAGCTTGGAGTGGTTGAAGAGTGTTTTTGGTTCCGAGATTGAGCTGCCATGGAAAAGGACTCGTGAGCTTGTCTTGGGAGAGGACTCAGATATATGGGACGATATCTTTGAGGATGCTTTTTCTCAGAGGATGAGAGGGATTATAGATGCGGAATTTGAGGAGTTAGATAGAGTTGTTGATGTGGCAGAGTCAGTTCGATCAATATCTAAACCTCCTGGTGATCATGTTGTTTCTGAAGACTACCTGAATAGATTTCAATGTACTGGTGGGGTTTGGTTCATGAATCCCAATGGCAAAACGCCAAGTTCTATTCCTGGCACGAAATTGCCTCCGTCTCAAGAAAGTGATTTTGCAAGCTGTCTCAACACTTATTTTGGCCCTGAAGTGAGCCGGATAAAAGATGCCGTGGATTGTTGTTCTCAGGATGTTCTTAAGGATCTCCTCACTTTCCTGGAGTCTCCAAATGCGCCAAGTAGGTTGAGGGATTTGGCGCCATATGTGCAAAACAAGTGCTCTGAAAGTCTGTCGGCCATATTAAAACAGCTCAAGAGTGAACTTGACCACCTACACAGTGATCTAGAAAATGAGAGTAAAGATGGAATGTCCTCACTTTCGTCTGCTATACTCGTTGAGCGATCATTATTTATTGGGAGACTTCTGTTTGCTTTTCAGAAGCACGCCAAACATATACCAGTGCTACTTGGTTCGCCTAGGTCATGGGTGAGTGAAGTTTCTGTTGCTACTCTATCCCCGATTGACTCGAAAAATATTATGGTGGTCAGTGACCCGAAAATGATTGGGAGCACGAAACAGGCTTCACTAGTAACGGGTGCACTATTCGGAGCGGAAGACAGGTTAAGCCCACATCTTGAAGAACTAAAGCAAACAACCCAAGATCTTTGCATCAGAGCTTACAATCTGTGGATATCATGGGTTTCTAGTGAACTTTCAAATATTTTTTCAAGAAATCTGAAACAAGATGATGCCTTGTCATCAACTGTTCCAGTCAGAGTAAGTATTTTAATTGCAATCTTTTCATGCTGGTCTGCTGACCCCTCACACTCTCCACGTGTATCATCAGATTATTTTTGTTATTCTTGTTCCGATTGTACCTTTTTATGATTATTGTTTAAATGCATGCCATATAGCTTATATACCCAAGTGCAGTAACAACTCTTTAGTTGTATTTCTCTGAGGAAATACTATGAACTTAGATAAGTTTTGCTTTAATTTCTTGGTGTATGTGTTAGCCAATGTTATCTTGCTTTGGCAGTCTGTCATCTCTAAACTATTTTAAACTACTGGACAGGGTTGGGAAGAAACTGTAGTCAAGCCGCAAGAACAGTCGAGTGACGTCCAGTCAGAGATGAAGATATCTCTTCCTTCGATGCCTTCTCTATACGTGACTTCATTTTTGTTTTTTGCATGTGAAGAGATTCACCGCGTTGGTGGGCATGTACTTGATAAAGCAATTCTGCAGAACTTTGCTACCAAGCTTTTCGATAAGGTGTGTTCGGTGTTCCGACCTTAACATTTATGGATGTGACCCTGTGTAGAAGGATTTGGGGATAAGGTTGAACTGTTTTGTTAAGTAAGTGATAGGACTTTTGGACTCACTTTTTGCCACTATCATTGTGAAATTTTCTCTTCACCATTTTAAGTGTGTTGGATGATGAAACCATAAATATTTTCTGGCACGTCTTCTTTGGAATGTCATTGGATTGTTACTGAAACTGTATGGGTTCTCTGTTCGTAATTGATGTATGGGATTATAACAACACACAACTTTTAGTGAGATTTATTGGCTTAGTGGAAAATGCGCCACAGGAGTGTCGATCAAATGATCTTGAGATAAGGGATAGGGAGAGGTCAAATACAAATAAATTGTGTGATGGAATAGATCTCTTTCTCACTTTAGTTTCTCTTAAGTCATTTTTTTGGTTAATCTGAAAGGATTCACTTGTTATATGTGGAGTTGAATGTTATATGTCTTTCTTAGTTTTCCCAATGTAAAGTTAAGGCTCCCCAACGAACAAAGCGAAGCGCCAAACCCCAGGCCCCCCTTGTTCTAAAAGACGCGGGGGATCTTTTTCATGAACAACGCCCTGTGCCCTGTCTTCCTTCTCCTCTCTCAAACCCCCGAACAGTGGGAATTTTCCTTCTAAGTACTTTCTCGTATAGACGGTAGAAAGGGAGCTAGTTTTGTACTCTAGTTCTGTCCCCAAGGCGCCCTTAGAGCCGGTGTGCCAGTCCCAGATTGAACCTATCCCCGATAGAGACGTTCCCTGTAATAATTTTGGATCTACTGTCGATCAATATCACGTACTGTACTAAAAAGGTTTGGGCACAGATTTTTGTATTAATAAAGTGGTTTATCTCAGTGGATGTGCAGTTTTACAGATATTGCTTCCCTATTCATTATCTTTATTGAACCGTGGCCCTTCACTGAATTCTTATGGCTTATACTTTTGTAGGTTCATGGGATTTATGATGACTTCCTGTCAGCCGAAGTTCTTAGGTCACAAGTGTCAGATAAAGGTGTTTTACAAGTGTTATTTGATTTAAAGTTTGCTTCTGATATCCTGCCTGGGGGCGATTTCCATGCAAATAAGGAGGCATCTGAAATCACAAGCGTGAAATCTCCTTATAGGAGGAAGCAGAAAACAGAGTCAAAAAATTCATTAATAGGACAACGCACTAAGGAGTTAGTGAATCTCCTTTCACAAAGGCTGGATCCCATAGATTGGCTGACGTAAGTTGTTGAACTGACTTGATCTTTAGGAAACAGCATTTTTCATTTACACCGCCTCATAAAATTTTGGCTAATATTCTGTTGAGGTTATGACCAGGTGCTTGAACGTGGTTGTTTTGCGGCTTTTGCCCTTTTGATATTTTAGCTGTCATATTCCACTACTAATAACAATAGAATGCAAATATCGGAATAGAAGTTAAGCAATGAAATCTATATAATTCTGGACGCGTAATCTTGTTTGGTGAGTTAGTCTTCGTGTAGGTGCTCGTAATATGGTTCGATGTATAGTTTGGCTCCTTTAATAAACTTTGCTGTAGGCATTAATAAGCATGTATAAAAGTTAGTTTGACTGCAAGCTCCGGTGGAGAATATAATTCTGAATTAGAAATAAACTTTGTTTAGATTTGCATGGCAAGCAGGTGTAATAGAACAATTTTTAATAATATTTCTTAATTTTGTTAAGCTAGATGTAAATTAGATTTGCATGCTATTCCCATTTAACATGGAAATAATTATATGTAACTGTAGAATAAATCTGGGAGCCACTACTGACAATTTGTAATAGAACCTGTCTTCTGCAGTTGTTTCATGTTCGTAAATTTTCTTTGATCAAATTCTAATATCCATGGGTGTTCCTTCGTTTACCTGCAATCATGATGTTTATCTAGATAGACTAGATTCTAGTACTATTTTGGATCCCGAGCTATTATTTACTTTTCCCTCCAAATATGAATGTCTTATGCTGCCAAATATATTGTGCTGTTGTGTCCATTTTACCTATTTTTTATTTCTGATTCTAAGGTATGAGCCATATCTTTGGGAGAACGAGAGACAGGCGTACCTTAGGCATGGTGTCCTCTTTGGTTTTTTTGTGCAACTTAATAGAACACATACAAACTCTGTACAGAAGCTCCCCACTAACTCCGAATCAAACATCATGCGCTGTTCTGTAGTTCCTCGATTCAAATACCTTCCCATCAGGTAGTAACCACTATCCTATCCATTTATAAGAAAAATATCTTGTATATTTTTTCAAATTAATTCTTGTTCAATTGCATTATCCAAAGTGCTCCAGCATTGTCCGTGAGGAATGCAGCCAGAACCTCTATGTCGACATCCGTGGATGATGCTTACTTGAGGAATTCATGGAAAAGTTACAAAAGTGACGAGATCTCTCGTAGTTCCGATGTTGACGATGACTCGAGTTTAGGGGTGGCTGCACCATTTTTGAAATCCTTCATGCAGGTATAGTTTCTAATGGCTATTATGATTACAATATGCATTTTCGTTTAATTAGTAACCTCATTTCATTATGGGGTTTCGTTTTGTGAAGAAATTAAATTGACCATAACTTTTATTCTCTTGATTTTTTTTTTAAAATTTTTTTGTCCAACAAATCTTCAGGTGGGCAGTAGATTTGGAGAGAGCACATTACGGTTAGGGTCGATATTAACGGATGGGCAAGTCGGAAGGTTTGGGGACATATTGCCGGCTCACGCAGCTGGACTGCTTTCATCCTTAACTGCCACGAGATCAGATTATTAACTGGCCCATCAAAAACAGTTCTCACTGGATTACGCAGAGTAGCAGGTTTTCGGTAATTATCTACAGTAATTCCTCAAATATCCCATTTCTTCTTTCTTGAATGAAAAAAAAAAGAACTAAACTTGAAACTCACACTCATCTCTATCTCTACTAACTTAAAAGGCTCAATGTTTTTGTAAAAATTTGTGTTCACTAAAAATACCCTCTATAAATTATAATTTGTTAATGCTTTGTAATGGCAAAAAAGTACTTTACATGTTTTTCAACTATCTTAATAGACTAAATTACCCTTTCTTTGATTTGTTAATGGCTTAATTGTCATTTTGTTAAAAGTCATTTAATGAGAGAGTAATCTTGATTTTAATGGCCTAATTACAAATCATGTATGTACGTTTGGTTTGGTTTTCGTTTTATTGTTTAAGTATTTTTTTTTTCATTTTTAATTTAGTCAATATTATATTAACCCAAGTAATATGATATATTGAAAGCGGGTTTAGTAGATTTGGGGAATAATAATCAACAATATTATAACTTTTATGAAATATTTATGAATTATATGAATTAAACAACAGTTATCGTCAACACTTATATAATAAAATAAATTAATAACAAAAGGCTTGTGAAACTTTTAACTAACACTAGCTTATCTATCCGTACACAAATTATAACACAATAATTAAACTCATATATTATTAAATAATATTTTATTATATTTTCTTAATAACAATTTGATATTTAGCTTATATTATTTTATAAGTTATTAATTAATTATACATTTCAGTTAATAATATTATATTTTCTTTTGAGTAATAATAGACGACCTATTAATCTTTCATTTCTTTGTCTGTAATCGGTACTTGAAATAGTTTTTTTATCTCTTGTTCGTATTTGTATTTAGTTTCTACATAATGATTTTCAACCTAATGTCGGATAACATGTGGTACCTTATGTTGGATAATTTTTTATTTAATAAAAATTAATTAATAAACTTGACACACATTTTTATTTTTTTATTATAATTATTAAACAAATTATATTTATTTTATCACAATTGATATTATCTTTTCATTGTATTTACCCATGAGATTCGAACCAAAAGTCACCATGTTACATACTTATTTATGGAGTAAATAGTAATTTTGCTCATTCTATTTTCTTAGTATCTATATAAAATATTTATAGATAATATACACAAATTATTATATAAATTTAGTTTAAATTATTTTTAAATTTCAATGCCTTTTGTTCGAAAAATATTTTTATATAACCATGGGGTTTTTATGTAGATTGACCACAATAAGTAAATAAAATATAAACTTGAAACATCAGAGACACTAATCTATTAAAATATAAAATTATTTGCTTCAATATAAAAATATATCTTAATTTTGGTATATTATCATATTTACAATTCAATCAGCCATATAAGACAACTATTTAACAAAATTAGTTAGTCATAACATTTTCAGTTATAATGACATTAATGGTTTATAAAATAATGTAAACTTTAAATTGTGTATAGAACTAAAAAAAAAAAAAAACAACTCTCTTATTTTGTCCAAAAAAAACTTTGGGCGGGAAACATCCGTACAAAAATAGCATTAGAAGTTGGCTAATCTTTTTATACAAATGTAAATTGTTGGTGAGTGGGTGTGTGTGGATACAAATAAACAAAATTTTTATATAGTTAACCATGATTAATTTTAAAAATCAAAAAGTTGATTTGATTAGATGTTAGTGAGATATTTAAAATAAAATGATTAAAACTGATTAGATGTAAAAGTAGGATATAAATGATTATAAGTGACAGATAGTTAAAATTATGTGAATGAACCTATTTTTTTTCAAATAAAATATCTATTTTATGGTATGTTAATACTCATAAATCTTACTTTATAAGATAATTTATGGTTTTATTTGATATTTTTTAATTTAGTTTGATATATTATATAACTATGGATTTTTTTATGAAGATTGACCAAATTAAGTAAATAAAATATAAAATATAAACTTGAAACATCAGATTATAAGTAAATTGCAAGAGTATAGATCTATTGCACATGTCTATAAAAATATAAAATTATTTGATTCAATATAAAAATGTATCTTAATTTTGATATATCGTCATATTTATAATTCAATCATCCATATAAAACAACCATTTAATCAAATTAGTTAGTAATAACATTTCAAATATAATGACATTAATGGTTTATAAAATAGTGAAAACATTAAATAGTGTACAACATTAAAAAAACAACTTTCTTATTTTGTTAAAAAAACTTTGGGCGGGAAACATCCATACAAAAATAGCATGAGAAGTTGGCTAATCTTTTTATACAGATGTAAATTGTTGGTGAGTGGTGTGTGTAGATACAAATAAATTAAATTTTTAGGAGATAAATGATTGTAAGTGATAGATAGTTAATATTATGTGAGTTAGATGAATAATTTATATATTCGTCTGAAAAAGTTTACCTGTTTTTTTTTTTTTTTCAAATAAAATAACTACTTTATGGTATGCTAAGACTCATAAATTTCTATTACTTTATAAGGTAATTTATAGTTTTATTTGATTTTTTTAGTTTAGTTTGATAAATAAGTTTAAATTATATTTATAAAGATGTATATCAATGTTTTGTTTTTTATATATATAATATGAATGTCAGATCAAAGATCGTTACAAGATAATTAATTTGATATATCATATATAAAAATTAAAATACAAACAAAAAAAGTCATACAATTTTGAGACTAAGCAGAAGAAACATTCATAATAATTGATGTATCAACTAAATAAGAAAAGGAAATGTAAGAAAATGAAATGTAAAATAGTTTAATGTAATTAATGGTAAAATAAAATAAGAAAGAGATAAAGCATGGATTTAGTATTAATAATAAGAAAATTAAATGAAATCCAAGACTAATTATTTTTGTATAAAAAATATTAAGTTATATTAAAGTCTGACTCTATAATATGATTTTTTGCCATATAAGATTTTGAAGGGTGAGAATCTGCCACTTAAGCTCAACTCATTCGGTAAGTATATATAGGGATGATGATCCTAGCCATTTTTCACATATGAATAATATGCATATATATATATATATATATATATATATATATATATATATATTGTGCGTGCGTGTGTGTGTTTGTGTGTAGACACTTATCTTTAACTTAAATGTATATCAGTGTATAATTTTGTCAAATCAACTTAATGACATATTCAAATTCAATTAGACAAATTATATGGTTCACGTGCAAGGCACGTGCACCTTACTAGTAAAAATAAAAAAGAAAACATTAAATTGGCTTAATCTCTCTTCTGATTATTTGATGTGTTTAATATTGTACTAAAATCCATTAACTCTTTTGATTGTGGGTATGACTGTGTTTGGTAGTGTTTGTCTTGGTAACGAACTTTTCAGGTAAAAGTTAGGAGTTAAATTAGAAATTTGGATTTAAATTGGGGTTTTACATTACCTTTCTTTTCCAATAAAAAAGTTAATTTAAAAAATTCTTAATAGAAGGTGTTTGTTAGATAGTTAAAAATTAAATAGTTAACTACTTTTTCAATATTATTATATTTATTACCTATATCTACACTACAAAAAGATTGTTAGATTCCAACCGTAAATCCTACGGTGATATATTTCAATGACAATTCCAACGGATATTCTAATGGTATGGTTTTCGTTGGAATGAGTTTTCTATTGGAATTTTAGATGAAATTTGATGATTGCAACGAATGTTTTTCTAACAGTTTTTTACCTTAGGAATTTTGTTGGAATTTTTATTCGGAAAATCTACCGTTGGAATATGAATATATTTCCATTGGATTTTATTTGAATTTCATCATTTTCTTATAGTGCTATA